AGATAAAACCTTGCTGAAAATCTCCTCACCATTGTATATCTCAGTGATAAAACCTTGCTGAAAATCTCCTCACCATTGTATATCTCAGAGATAAAACCTTGCTGAAAATCTCCTCACCATTGTATATCTCAGTGATAAAACCTTGCTGAAATCTCCTCACCATTGTATATCTCAGAGATAAAACCTTGCTGAAAATCTCCTCACCATTGTATATCTCAGAGATAAAACCATGCTGAAAATCTCCTCACCATTGTATATCTTAGTGATAAAACCTTGCTGAAAATCTCCTCACCATTTTATATCTCAGAGATAAAATATTGGTGAAAATCGCCTCGTAATTATTGCCTTCGGCAACCAACCTCCCTCATCCCCATTGGTGGCTTCAACTAGGCTTCAATTACTTCCTTCTACTCCTTTTTGCCAGAGACCTGGAAGCGCTTCGTCTTTATGGTAGAAAGGGTCTTTTTGACGAAGCATATATTTAGTGACCAAGGTGACAGGCATGGAATTTCTCTCATTCGTCACTCGTACTAACTAGCAGGATTTTGATAGGGATTCTTTGATATTGTTTCAGATTGCTACGGTTTACGCAATTATAGTTGTGCATTACCCACTAAATGAGTTTTTAAACTTTTGATATATTTATATATAATATTCAAATCGTGTTTTCTCAAAACAGCACTTTGGCCATGTTGTCTCATAAAATGCTATGAAGTTAAAAAAAAACACTTGTGGCCCAATTTTAAAACAGTTTTTACCATTATAATAAACGTCCAAACCAATGCAAACATAATAGAAGTCAGAATGAAACTAGTAGGTGAGATTCGACAAAAACTGCCACGGAGGGTCACACAGACAAAAAAAAGGGGAAAACCCCCCCCCACCCCCCCCCCCCCCCGTATTAACACTACACTTTGCTGTCGGGTATCGGGCCGCAAAATATCGTCTAGCAGGACTCAAGTGGCCCACGGGCCGCGAGTTTTAGACCCCTGTTCTAGGTTGTAATAATAGCATAAAAGCAAAGGACACTCAAAGTCTATTTTGTAAGAATTTTGCCATGCTCCCCACCCCCTTTTTTTCTGTTCCAAATTTTATCTTACCATACTGCTTTTAAAAAAAAACATGTTACAGAAATTTAAATTGCTTTTAAATTAAATTGGTAAAAGTTAAATTATTCATTGGATTTATTCACGATGATCTCATTTTTTTAAATAAAAGAATGTAAATATTGATACTTTACCCCATCGATGTATGTAGAATGTATGCATGAACGAATTTCAAAATATATAAATAGTTTGGTTTCGGCCCAAAAGTGATTTTTAACTTTCGGCCTTGTTTCGGCTTCGGCCGAAACCAGGAAATCACTTTCGGACGGTCTCTACATACAACACATTAGAACGGTTCGATCATGTCTGAAATACTCTACAGAAGGCAGTGTATACAGATTTACCAGCACAGACATGACCAGGCAAACCGTTGATCCACTCATTGTAACACGATGCGATGTCTTTAAGAACAACAGAACACACGTGTTCAATAAGTTTCAAACAGGGGACGTAAATTGAGGCTCGCAAAAAAAACAACAAAACAACAGATAACACTCAAGTGTTTGAATAAATTAAATCTGCTCGTCTCAAAATTTTGAATATCTAAGGTTTCTTCGTGTTCAAAGGTACTTTAATGTATTTATGTTATGCGTCTTAGTACTTCAGGCAGATATATTTTTAGTGTTATTGTCTCTATTTAGATTCTCAAACAATTTCAAGTGCTGTAGGATTGTCCATAATGTCATTTTAACACTATTTGATATAATATAAGTTATGGCTCACATGCCTCTTATTACCTCTTGAATCTTGCTCGCAGCTACAAACGTTTTGCCCACACTTGACATATCGGATCAGTTCTATGAAATTTTAATCAGAGTCCTGGTGATAAATTACAGTGACGCCCTGGTTTAGAAACATTGTCAGACAATGTTGTTTGTCTAGTAACCAATGATTCCGTACATCGGCCTACATCAGCTGTTGTCATACTATGACTAAAGACTCATGGGCTCGGTACACGACTTCGCTATGGTTTCATACACTTATCGAACATTTAAATGTAACTGGTGGAATAAGAAAGTCTTATCAACATACTCCATGCTTCGTCAGAAAACTCAATATGGATGGAAAGCAAGATTATTATTTGCTCTTAAGGATATCAATTATTTTGTTACACCCAACAACGGAGTGCTAATATAAGTCAAAATTAAAGTACAGTTGGGCTCCACCACCCCCCAACCGATTTCGAAATAATAGTGGTCAATGGCGGGGTCGCATTGATGAATTCAGAACGGGCCGTCTAATTTCATACACAGTGATGTAGGAAACACATCTTGCTTGAGTGTAACCCCCTTTTTGAATCAGTTCTTCCCCTTTTTGTGTTGTCAACCATGACCAAACTCACATACCGAATTTTAAACGTGTCTCTGACACCTACCAGTAACCATCTCCACACCCACCTCCTACCCTCCCCCACTCTCCCCGCTACCCCCTCCCATCCTCCCAACACCCTCTTGTGCCCATCGTCTTTAATTCTTGACTTCACCGTTGCTTTGGTGGAGTTATGTCCATCGTCTTTAATTATTGACTTCAGTGTTGCATGAGGGACGTGCAATTTATTTTAAGATTATTTTATTTACCAAACACGGACATGCAATTTATTTTACTTGAAATATATTTTAACTTTCTTACAAGATTCAACCCCCTTCCCTTCTACCATACAGCCCTACCCCTTAGTAAAGAGTTTTTTTTACCCACGATTTCCCCTTTTTCACACAAAACAGCGCCCCCCCCCCCCCCAAACCCCGTTTTAATGTGGCTCGGGTGTTTAGTTTCCGATCCCCTTCCCTTTTTTT